CTCAGGTGTCTGTTTTCTTTCTTTTTGGCATCTATGGAGGTGAGGATGGTTTCTGCCCTGTTTGCTTTCTTTCTCCCCACCTCCATAGAGGATTTGCTATAGAACAGCTTGCAATATTACCTTCCAACATGTAGTGTTTCTATTAGAAGAGTAGGAGTGCTACTGTCTCATTGGGCACTAATCTTTACTCAGCTTTGCAGCCCTGTTCTCTTCTTTCTTTTTCAGTCTCCATCTCATAAAACTAAGCGACAGCAACAAGAACTGATTGCAGAGCTAAGACGGCGACAAGTCAAGGACAACAGACATGTTTATGAAGGAAAAGATGGCGCTATTGAAGATATCATCACAGGTAAAGCCCCCCCAACACTCAAAGGAGACTGTTTCAAAGACACCAAAAAAAATCTATTTCTAATTGTCTGGTTAATGCTTTATAAATGAGAACAAGTAGGAACATTAATCGATGCACCATTCATTTAAGTTGACCAAATTTCAGGCTTTCAGGCCTGTTTAGTGGCAGAGGTTTCACGGATACACCATTTGTGTATTTATCCATGTTGTCATGACTAAAGCCATAGATCCTATAGTCTTGCTGTATGTGCATCAGAAGCATGCTAGAGAAATCTTTGAATCTGTTTCATTTGTGTGCAAACCTGTTAGTGTTTTAACTTTGTCCTTAAAAGCTCACGTTACCCTTAAAATGCTACTAACAGTAATAGTCACAACATTACAGGTAGTCCTCACTTAGCAACCACAATTGGGATCGGCAACTCCATTGTTAAGTGCCATGGTCATTAAGTGAAACATCACATGACTGTGACAGGCTTATGACCTCACTTCCCTTCAGCTGTTAAGCAAATCACTGTGGCCGTTAAGTGAAACATCATGTGACCATGACTTACAATTTTATGTCCACCTTCTCTATTAACTCTGCTTGTCACATGCCAGTTGCAAAGCACACAAATGGTGATCACGTGACCACAGGACGCCGCGATGCTCATAAATGCAAGGATTGGTTGCAAAGCTATTTTTTTAACACTGTCATAACTTCGAATGGTTGTTAAACGAGGTAGTTGGTAAGTGAGGACTACCTGCAAATGTATAATGGAGGGCATGGTTTCATGTGAATTGCTGAATTGCATGAAACTTTGGAATTGCATATTCCTCTTGCAACAAACTTTATGCACCCTCTTATTTGCAGTCCGTAACTGAACACAACAGGGGGACAATGGCTGGACCTCATTTGTAATAAGAGAAAGGCAGCATGGACAGACTAGATTCCTGAAATAGACTGGTCACCTGCTGCAGTTTGATTTGCATGCTTTTTATTGTCCTAGCAGAATGGATGTAGCAATTCATATCTTATGGTTAACTATTTTTTTACATTACCAGTCATCCCTCCACTTCTTCTGAATTTTGTATTTGGCAGTATGCTTCTGAACATAGAAAAGTAACGCCAAATGCAAGAAATACTTACTATTGTAACCACACAATAATAAGTAAACACAATTAAGGCACACAGACGCCGAACTTTGTTCGGCAAAGACTTTGTTAGCATGGCAAGGACTTCTCAGTGTCTCTTGAAAGTCACACTGGCTTTAGTGTGAAAGTACCCTGGGAATTCCTGTGACTCAGCCCAGTTGATGGGGAGCAGGGAGAGGGCATGTGGCCCTGCAGGAGGAAGTTGTGCCAAGACGAAGCAGTGTGCGAAAATCCAGTTGCTGCCACCAAGTTGGAAAGGAGGCTTTGACAGTAACCCAGTCACACAACCCTTATTGTGGTTAATTGACAGATGATCTGCAGCAGGGTGCCTTTAATAAAGCACTAACAATATACTAATGCAAGAGATCTTTGCTTCTTACTGTCTTATGTCTTGTTTGGCTGTTATTTCCATGCAGTGCTGAAGACGGTGCCCTTTACCGCTCGAACGGCCAAGCGTGGCTCTCGGTTTTTCTGCGAACCTGTTCTCACAGAGGAATTCCATTACTAAACTATTCCTCTTTCACAGCTGATCCTCTTAAAAAAATAAAAGGTTGCTGTAGGTTTTTGACATTTCTCCACTTTACGGCAACGGGGTGTTGAATGGGTTTTGTGATGTCTGGCATCCCCGTGGAGTCGTACCTTACATTATCATCATCATAACCATCATCTCCTTGCACGTTCTTGTCTGCCAGTAATGATTTGCTCCCTTCCACCCACCGTGTGAAAGCTTGTTCCACCCCTTCCATTTCAAGGTCTAGGTGTTAAATGCCACGGCAGAGCCAATACTGGAGATCACTGAATGTCACTAAGACCAGCAACAGCTGTGCTTCCAGCCAGTCCACTCAATTTACAAGCAACTATTGAGGGGTGTAGCGATAATCATGACAGATGGTTCACTTTGTTTTTTGTATGTTATTCTACTTTGGGCTCTTTGTGTTCTTAGTGGATTGATCTCTGTTGCATGAGTCCTGGTGTTAAACCTTTATCTGGAAGTAAGCCATGTATGTATGAGAAATAGAGGTGTGCAGTATTTGGATCTGAAGTGGGCAGAGATTCTTCAGATCTCGTAGGAGTTCCTTCAGTGTATCTGTACCTTTCTGGGGCTTACACGGTACCTGCTGTAAGGACTAGGAAAATAGGCATTTGAGTTAAGGTGGTGTTAAGGAGGTACCTGTTTCTCCTTATTCTCCTGACCCTTGATGGCTACCATGCAAGCTCATGAAAAGGTAGTTACAGCAAGGGTGCCTACACTGGATCAGAAACACTTTAGCCCACTTTGGATCCAAATACTGTGCATCTCTAATGAGAAGTTAGTTTTTTGTGGGCCTTGGTTTGTGATCTGCAAAAGCATTCTTTCATATTCGTCATTCTACTCATCACTTGCACGTTTGTGTTTGCATGTCAGAATCTTCTTTTTCCCCCATTTTTGTCCTGCCAGATCCGTAGTTGTGTTAGCTTCAGTTCCATGCCAATTTAATTGGAAATCTCCTTAGAGGCATATGAATACTACCTTTAAGAAAACACAGTATCCGTTTGGGGTTTTATAATTTGTGAAATTTGAAAGTGAAAATGACCAAGTAAAAATCAGGAGCCAGATTAACCACAATTGCAAGCAACCTTGACTTTTGAGCCAAGCAGTGAGAAGATCTTCATGAATGCTCAACAAATCTCATGCTAGCTCACCAAGGATTAAGAATGATGGAGAGACAGTCAAAGACCTTCTGCTTGAAAAAGCAGGGCTGGTGACACCATGTCTCAAATTGTCTCTGGATAACAAATATATCAAGCTTATTGCCATGGAACTGGATGCATTGAAATCTTTTGGTGTAAACTGTTAAAAAGTGGAAGCTGAATGAATCTGTTAATGCTGTTGCCCTTGATACAATGGCAGAAGGTATTAAAGAAAGCGGTCCAAATCCTGCTTGCTCTTTCCAATGAAATTGTTGTCTGGTCATTCTGGAGCCAATGTTCAAAGCAGCTTGGAGTTTAATTGGCTAATGATCAGGGTGGCCTGTGTCTTTCTCTGTTTAATCTTCCTTCCTTTTTGGCTTTGCTCATTCTTGCTTTTTTTGCTAACCTGCTGGATCTTTAAAACAGGGTGTGGTTTTTGGTTTTTGTTTTGCTTTGGGGCACTGAATTGAGTTGCTCTTCATGTTCCATCCCATTTTAAACTTAACCTTCATTCTGTGTTTTTTTTTCCCTTCTTGTTTAGCCTTAAAGAAGAATAATATCACTAAATTTCCAAATGTTCACTCGAGGGTAAGGATTTCTTCTAGCACACCGGTGGTGGAGGATACACAGAGCTGGCAAGCATCACTTTTTATTTAGCTTCCTCCTCTCTCTGAATGCCACACAAAACTTCTGCAAGATAGATCCCAGGAACAGAAAGGAGCTGTATATCCTGTAAAGGCTTAGGAGCATTGCTGGGACATTTAGGTCTTTCTTCTGCCATTTTTCTGTGTCCTGTGTGGGATGGCTTTATCTGTAGCACTGCCCTGCCCTGAATGATAACATGTTCAAGGCGCCTCTGGTGGTCAGTGCTGCCTTGCATCTCTGCCTTGCCTTCTAGAAGAGGGGCGCTTTGCCTGGTCTTTATGTCTTGACCTGTATTGGAGGCAGCGGGAGGGGAGAGCTGCATAGAGGAAGGTTGCCAACTTTCTCACAGACTCCAGCTGCTAAGCTGCTCTTACAAAGGTGGCCACTTTTTTACAGCAGGACTCCTGCTTTACAAAATGCTTGATGGGGATAGCCTGTGAGATGATGTCACCAGAGTGGGTGAGGGACTTGTAAAGGACATGGGTGCCTTAACTCCTTAAGTGCCTCCAAAGTACATTTCCTCCCCCCAAATGTGATCCTGAGCCCTGTGGATGCTTTGGAAGCTCAAGAAAGTTTTGGGGACACACAAGGAGTGCCAGGAACTGCATGCATCAGATGCCCACCCCTGCTTCAAGGGAAGCCTGGTGTATAGAAGTTGAGCTCATGAATTTTTTCCTGGGATAAGCATAAAGTGGGGAAAAAACCCACCACTTTTAAATATCTGCAGGTCAGGTTGTGACTGTTTAACATGCACAACCACCAAGGCCAGAGAGAATGCTACTGTGCCAAAAACAAAACTCTGAAACCTCTTAGGGATGGAGATTCACCTGCAAACATTGATTTGTGGTCGTTCTCTACTTGGGCTGGCAAGGAAAATGGACTGGACCTGCCTCCTAGCAATAAATCACTTCTCTCGTTCTTAGGAAAGTTAGTAGCCTAAGTGAACTTTGGGGAGGCTTTGTGATTGTCACCAATTTAATACTTCTCCCATAGAACTTGGGCAGAGCCTCAAGATTGTAGTAATGCCTCTGAATCCTCTTGTCCAAGACTGAGGCATTATTACGATCTTGCTGTATCAATTTGTAGGTTCAGTTACAGTGGGAGCTCTCAAGGGCTGAGCCAAGTACACGAAAGCAGACTTCTAAGAGTGAGGCATAGGAGAGGCAGCCAAGTGGAAAGAGGTCCAAATAAATTTTCTGTGGGAGACAGTATTTTATTCCAGAATGCCTGCATCTCATCCATCTTGAACTTAAGAATACAGCAGAGCAGATACCAGAGAACAGGCTTTTGTATATGCAGGCAGTTCTTACATGTGTAGAAAGAATTATTAGGAAACCTTGTTGATGGAAGATAAAAGAAGAGATTTTGCCCCATCATTCACTACCTGGTCAGTTTGCTGCAGTTGCGGGCAATCTGGGAAGATCTGGCTTTGGGGTTACTAATCATACTAGTGTCAGGATGGTGAGGCCCTGATTCAGGCAGTGCTGTAATGGAAAGAAGGCCCCAGTCAGCCCTACCCATACGGTCACCTTGTTAAGAACAGGAATCAGGACCAAACCAAATCTATCTCTAAGCTGGCTCTTAAAATGCTACAGTACCCTATGCCACGTCTCAGCATCTTTCAGACTCTAGAAGTTAAACAGGACTTGGACTGGTTCGTTCCTGACTCAAGGACCACCAGGGAATGCCAGGGCTGTAGGCTAGACTGAGAGGTCAGAAGACATCCTGGAAAAAGGCAGTGGCAGTGGAAGTCCATGAGTTGCCAATAAAACTGCCAAGTTACATCACTAGAAGTCAAACTTTTATCTTCTTAGTCCACCCACAACTTTACTTAATGTTTCCTAGCACTTCAGTGGCTCAGGAGAGGCACAAACCTGGTGGCAATCTTTGCTCATGGCCTGAAGACCCACTGCTGAATCCCCACTCCTCTTCTTTCTCTGGAGACAGGAGATAGTAGCAAGTCATCTGAATCCATCCATAAAAGATTGGACAACCATTTGTCTGAGATGGTATAAGGACTCCTGCCTTGGGCAGGGGTTTGGACTAGAAGACCTCCAAGGTCCCTTCCAACCCCATGATTCTCAGCAAAGGGTTCACTACTGGATCTCTTGGGGCATTGGGGGGGGGGAATGAAAAGGGCAGACCATTGTTTTTATCAGCTGCTAGGTTACCTATTTTGCCCTTAATAGTGCCATCAGGGAAGCAACAAGATTCTTTACTAGCCCCTGGAAGGTTTTGTTTTGTTTTGTTTTGTTTGCTACTGTGTCGGCTCTCCTGTTAGAATTGGGAATGGCACAGCCAATTTAGTTGGGAAATTTGATATAGTTGGGAAGATAGGATATATGGATGGAAGGATCTCTGGGGTAAGGTGTGGAAAGAGAGAAAGAGAGAGAGTAGTGCCTGTTTTCCATTTTTGTTTGTGCTGTGGTACATCTGCAAAGCTTTAGAGTGACCAGCATGGGAGATGCTCTCCCTTGATCGATAGAAAATGGGGGGAGGAGGAATTTTTGAAGAAATGAGCAGAATCCCAGATTTCAGGGGAGGGTAATACTGAGGCACAGCTGTCCCCACCAGCACCTTCCCTTTCTCCTCTTCCTTCTGGGCTTGTGGGAACAGCAGCCACCCTTTTCTTCCTCATGAGGAAGTTCATTAGTGAAGATTCAGGTTGACATCTCGTGGCTGAACCCTGCAGTGAGAGACCTTCCCTCCAGAGAGCGATTTACCCTGTGAGGAAAGGGCTAACGAAAGCTTTCAGCAGGTGGAGAGATTAAGGAAGGAGGGACGGGGACCCCTGAAGGAGAAACAGCTCCCACAGCTGAAGCCCTTTCATAAATAGCATGGTAGGGCTGCCACAGAGGGATCAGAAGCTTCTGCCCCTGTCCCAGGCTTGCAGCAAGGAAAAAAAAAAGGCAGAAGTCTGCTCCCATTGGCTTTTTCTTAGCAGTAGGTGAAGACAGACCCCTCTATGCTCCTTGCTCAGCTCTCTGTGAATCTAAGCGGTCCCTTTTCTCTTTGGCTTCAAGCTGCTTTGATGGGCTGCCAGCAGGACTCTCCCTTTCTGGCTCCGAACGCAGGGGGCTGCCGGCTTCTGACTCCTCCGCTCTCCTTCCTGCAGATCTTAGAAACCAGCCCTACCGACGAGCCGATGCGGTGAGGAGAAGCGTCCGGCGGCGGGTTGACGATCAGAATCTACGTGCTGTCAATGGTGCTGAACTGGCCATGTGAGCCGGAAGGGGAAACCGCCCCTGTGAACGAGCAGAAAGTGCCCTTGATCGCTTCCTCACCACGCGGACTGTGTTTATGTTGCCATTTTAATTATGGCCTTGATCAGAATACCTTTAACTAGTCTTCTGAAGGGCTCTGTAAGGACTGAAAATGCATAGGAATGCAAACTAAAAAATTTTAAGCAAAAAAATGGGCTTGCCATGCCACTGTAGCTACCAAGTGCCTAAATTTCAAGGACCTACTCAAATTATTCAAAGCAATAGGACTCTTTTTTGATTGGGTAACTTTTTACACCAATAAAATTTCTTCAGTGTTCTTAACCAAAATGTAAAATACATACTGTATTTTTTTTTTTTTGCTATTGTTAAATACAGTTTAGTAAATAGCCTTCAGTGGACTTTTTTGATTTCATAACAGGTTGTAAATAGGGAATATTCTGATAAGAGTTACTGTAGATTTTTTTTCCCAATGTTTTCAGTACATTCCTGAACAGTTTGAAGAGTTAACTTTGAGCTTCAGCTGCACTTACTAGCATTATATAGATGTGTATGTGTGTGATTATATACATGTGGGTGTATATATACACATATATACATGCACGTGTACATGTATGCATGGAGAAGGAGTTTACCATATATAAAGGAGCAGAAGACATTAAAATAACTTGGACCCTTTAAGAACATTTTGTTCGTTTTAAGGCCAAGGGGAATATCCATAAAGCAAAAGTTAAGGGAGATGTGAATACAGTTGACAAGATTTAAAGCTAATTGGTTTAGCTAGAGAGATTTCTGCTGTAAATACAATGTGGGAATAATGTGGGGCTTAGATTAAATACACACTTGCCTGCCTTCAAATTCTACCTAGCACACACCAATGGGTGGTAAAGCTAGAGCAAGGAGATATAGCTGAAGAGGACGGGCACGCTGCAAACGCAGGACTCGGTGAGTGTGTTCTTCCAGTGGTGGCAGCCCTGACCCTAACCTTTGGGGTAACAACGTTATTTATTAATTAGCACTAAGGTATTAACTTCTCAGTAATCAGTGTTAGAATTCATAAGGATCACAAACTGTTCAATTCTCAAAAGGGTGAAAAGAGTGCACTACTATCAAGGGTGGCGTGACATTGCAGGAATGCCTTGGGATTCTGTGCCAATGGAAATTGCATAGGTCAGTTCCATTTATTCTTTGCACCAATCCATTTTCAATGTTTCTGCACTGGATTGCCTTCAGTTAACATTCAGGTTACACAAACGGTTGAATGTAATGCAGTGCAGCAAGATACACGTAGAAAATTCAGACGAGTAATGCTTACGGAGATCCTCCTTTTGGATTGGAATGCTCACATTTTAAGCTTTAAACCAGTTTTTAACATCGTACTTATCGATATTACTTCAAGGTGGGGCCCTTGAATTTTTTCTCCAAAGTAAAAAACTGGAAGTTAAGAGAATCATCTTGCCTGCATCCTTCCCGTTGCTGGTAGCACTGCATCATTCTATTAATTGTAAAATTTATTGTATAGTATTTAACCACTTAATTCTTTTCCTTTTTTATATTGTGCTTCTGTGAACCACTGGTCAAGGCCCCATATTCCTTTGATAATGTGTAGTTATATGATAATGTTTTTAAATGTACAGATATTTTGCTACAAAATTGGTGCTTTTTTATGGTTTTTACACTTCTCTTTAATTCCCACTTTAGCCTCGGGTAATACTGTAAATATTGTTTAAAAATGCATCAACCTGTGCTATACAATCTGAATGTTCTTAACTTATAGTTTTGTTTTGTTTTTATATTTAACTAAATGGACAGTCTGGGGCTCAAAATTGTTTCATTAACCTTTGCTTGTCTATTTACAGAAAGTTTATTTTAAACAACTGCCAACATGCTGACAGAATCCAGCAGTGTATATTTGACATGCAAAAGAGAACATGCCATGATTACATTTTTTTCCCCTATTAAAGAGGAGCATTTTTGTTTTGGGTAAAATCCAGTTTAGCAATATAATTTAAGGTCCCATATACAGCTGCAAGATAATTCATAACATGCTGCGATATTTCAATATGACTAAGTAGGCTGTAATATTGGCATGTTCTCTTGGATATTTTATCTAGTGATAGATCTGCTTCTTAGCAATATTATAGGTGTTTTATAAAAGCAGTTCATGTTACTTTTCTGATCTGTTCATGGCATATGACTGAATAAACTATTTACACAACTACATCTCCTTTTCATGGATGATTGGACTTTGGCACTGTGATCCAACAGGTGCAATAGAGAGTTCCCCTCTTGCTAAATCCTAACTGGCAATTGAAAACCTATAAGGAAAAAGATGGTTGCGCTCCTAATACAGTTGACCATGAGAGCAGATAGATGGATTCAGATACAGCTATAGTTATGAATTGCATAACAAAGCTTAGTTAAAGGAGGAGGAGAAGGGGAGGGGGGCAGGGTAGCAGAGCATTTGCGTACAGACAATCCTTGACTTATGACCACAGTTGGGACCAGAATTTCCATTGCTAAGCGATGCGGTCGTAAAGTGAATTTCACCAATGGGTAGGTGGAATTGGATTGGGGTAGGGCTAGCCAAGGACCTACCCCAATCCAAGCAAGAAGCTCCTGAACTGCAGCACAGCACAAAGCTACAGCTGCCCCAGTCCAGCCCCACAAAGCCTCCCCAAGACACCCCAGGAAGCATTTGTTCGCCCAGCTGCCTTCTCTTCCAGTTCCCTGCACTGAGAAATGACCATCTCAGCAATGGGAAGTTACTTTTTAAATGAGAAGTTTGGACCATTCTGACTTCAAATTAAATCTGAAGGTGTAAATAGAACCACTTGTCTCTGTCCATTAGACCAAGATAGCCCAGTGACACCTTAATTTACTAATATATTTAGATGCACACAAATTGGACATTCCTTGGAAGGGATTTCTAGACTGGATGACTTGAGATGAGAAACCATCTTAAAACTTTGTGTGAATTGGAGGATAATGACTAGAAATCACCTGATGTTGTACAGTAGACTGAGTGGTAAGGCAGGACTAAAGCCCTAATTCACAGAACACAGACTCTTCTAGCAGCCCAGAAACCCAAATATTGCCTGTCTAAACTAATTTTGCTGGAAGCATGTAGCACTGACAAAAAGAGATGATGTATGCTTATGTATTACTGTAGGATATTATTATTAGGGCCATTTCTGTAGGCCACTGTTGTAGCTATCGATGTGCTAGAGCCCAGAAGCCGACTAGAACATCACCATATCATCTGAATACACAGATTTGTCTTGCTCAGTCACGTGGCTACCTATAATTAAGAAAACAGCTGGTAGGCCACCCCTGCCCTTAATATAGGGGGGGGGGCTGGATCCCTTTGTAGCTGATTCTAGATTGGGGATGAAAAGACGTGAAGTGAGTAAGGGAGGAGCTAACATGCTGGCCATCTGTCCAGCTGGGGAAGGACAGACAGGGTCCCTTTCTGCCGTTGCTGCTCTTAGAGGCAAATACTGATTTGGACTTAGCCTCATTCCAGATTTTACGACACACGTCTCTTGACATAGTGGGATTTGTAGCTCAAGATTTGGCTAAGAATTGGCACCAGACTAGGCTAGTGGTTGTGAAGATTGCACTCTTGGCCAGTTTGCCTTGGCAGCCGATCAGTAGTTCTTTGGAAATAAGCTCCAAAAATTGCTTGGCTAAACAAAGATATGGCCCTCACTGCTTTGATTGCTAAAGTATTGGTCTCATGAGCTCTTTTTGAAAGAATGCCATTACATCTATTGCAGGGGATGTTTGGGGTTTTCATCCATTCCCTTGCAATCAGTGGCATCACAAGGCTACTAGAGCATCTACTAGACTTGGAAATGGCTGGGGCCAGGGCTGAATGTTTGCCTGCAGAATTCCACACCTGCTGACTCAAGTGTGTCTGGAATCAAAGTGCTACATGGGTATACCAATAAATATGGGGGCTGCCCAGAATCTGAAAGTGAGCCAATGGAAAACTCGGATTGGGCTCTTTTGAAACTGAGTTTTTTACACGCCTCTTTAGTCAGGAGTAAGTAATTATTTTGAGAAAATAAAGTCAATGATGACTATTTCTTGATCCTCCTCCAATAGCTCTCCATTCTCCTGACACAGAACCACCTAGTGACCCTATACCCAAGGAATCTATGCCCAGCATCCTAGAAGTCATTGTTTTTCTCTTCTCAACTGGTCTGTTGGTAAGTGCTTAAGGGGTAAGTGCTTAAGGGGCTGAGCAAAAAGCCATTCCCTTTCTTGGGTCTCTTCAAGATGGTGGCCACCATGCCCTTGACCACACAGCTTCCTCGTAGGGACTCAGGGAATTGAGGGACCACTGGGATCCAAGGGGACAAGTACAGGAATGGCTCCTTACCTGAACCAGTGATAGAAGCCTGGATGCTAGCCCGGTTGTTGTGTGAGGAAGATTCCATATTCTTTCATGTTGCTGTTTCCTTCAGTCTTTGGGTTTCTTGACTTCCCAGAGATTGAATAGAACCCTGTTGCTGTAAGAAACTTAACATGGGCGACTTTTTACCTATTGTGTAGCTGTGAAAAATGGCCCTTTGGGCAAGTAGGACAGCAATTGTCTAGCAAGCCCTTGCTCTTGAAAGGCCACACCCAGGAATGGCAGGCTATTGTGGTGCCTGCAATA